CGTGCCCCGGGTGGGGGGGTGGGGGGGGGCGTCGATCCACGTCGATGACCACGTTCCACGCTCCCACACGCGCACCCAGTAAAACATGCATAAAGATAAGAACACCGTTCTCAAGGCAACGAACTCACTTAGTCCGGGATGCTGAATTACGAACTCTCGAGTCGAGCAGCCACAGCGGCCACAGCGGCCCCTTCGGCTCTTTCGAGAGATCTCGCACTCCGTGTGCAACGAGGATTCGCCGTCCCTCGAGTTCCTTTATATCTTACTGATGGCGCAGTGCTACCGGTGATTATATCTCACGAGGATCCTCTGTGTCAGTAGCTCTGCGGAAATGCAAAGGATATTTTGATATGCAGGTAAATATGAAATCTGCGTCGCCTTCACGTAGGAATGACAATGAGACACGGCGATACTAATTGGTTAGATGGATTAGCGAGAATCCGACGATCGGCGAGTCGACTTCCAGCAATGGGCAGCCCTGCTCTGTTCTAATCTGCCCCGCTGCGCCCCGCTGCGCCCCGCTCGCCAAAGAGTGCCGAAGACAGTCGCGCGCAATGTACTCGATTAGACTTTCGCTATACGGAGCCATGCTAATTTCTGCGACAAACGTCGCAAAACCGTCGACTTCTCGCTCCTCCGCACTAACCGCTTGACTCGCACTCGCGGAGCAGCGCAGTTTGCACTTTCACTCGTGCACCTCCCGTGCACCTCCCGTGCACCTCCCGTGCACCTCCCGTGCACCGGCGACAACGTCATCGGCAGCGCCATCGCGACGGTCCTTAACGATTAATATCGCGCGCAGCTGCAGCGCATTAGCAACCATCCGATATCGGCCGACGAGCGTTAATCGTTTAATGATTCGTTTCAACGATCGTTAACGAGTCTGGTGGGAGCAAATAATCATTTCGTTATTTCCGATCGAAGATTCGCAATAGGCTGCTGGCGCATGCGCGCTGCGGATTTTCCGTGAAAAAAAAGAAAAAGAAAAGGGGGCAGGCTGTACTGTACGGTGAACGACGCCAGACGTCGCCTCGCACACCTATTTATTCGACTCGCCATTATGCTGCTCGAGCATTTATTTGCCGATTTAACTGCTGAAAAATGAGGAGCCGGCCGAGCGCGCGCTCGTCACGTTTTATGCGCGTTCGCGGTGCGCAGGGTCGCTTGGAAACTCGGCTTTACGATGTCATAGAAGGTTATATGGGCTCTCCGGCCCTCGACGCTCAGCCTCGTGCATGTGCAGTCACGAGGTCCTTCTGGCTCTGTGCGCCGCATGTGCGGCCCTCTGCCGTTTACGTATTAGCATATAAATTATGTGATCGTGATTTATGCTCGAGGCTGCCTGCTTCGCTGCCTCCTGGACGCTCAGACGCGAACGTGGGATTGTCGATTAAAATTCGAGACGTGACGTCACTCGTGAACTTGGCTTGACGCTTCTTCGACGTTTAATTCTAATTCGATTCTACTTATCTCCGGGCGATCCCCGCGATCTCTCGATCGATGGATCGATCGAAAGTCCATAGAATCCATAGAAAGTGAATGGGATCGGAGTCGATTTGCCTCTCAGCGAGGAACAATAATTCCGTCGCTAAATGCAAACGAACGTAACGACCGACCTCGTCCCCGGCGCCAGTTCCTCATCTTCTCTCATCCATAATTTGCCTCTCCCGTTGCCCCCCGCGATTCTTCCTCGGAATTCCTCTCCTTTTCGAAGCCAGAGCGCCGCGTTGCGCAACTTAACGTCTTAACGCTTAAAGGAGTGCAAGTTCATTACCGGCCCGGTGAGCCAAGTCGGCTCGATCGGCTCGATCGGCTCGATCGGCTCAAGGCGGCCGTTCAGCGGTAAGTAAATCGCTGGCTACGTGCGCCAATGGCCAGGACTCCGATTAGGAACGGCATTGGCAGCGATTGACGAAGGAGCGCGAAGTCGACGCTCGCAGTCGCCTCTCTCCCCCCCCCCCTCCTTCTGCCGCCTCATCCCGGCTCGCGTTCTGCTTAAGTAATCGCGAATAATTGCCCTTGGCCAACGCGCGATCGCGAATCGATGACCTCAGGACGTTCGATGGACCAACCTAGGCCCTCGCGAGTGAGCTGATCGTGCACCTAGTCCCGGCCGATTCATTGGGAAGGGCCATAATTCGCAGGACCGGAAGTCCATTGTCGTAGGGAAGGGAAGTCGGCTGCATTTGGTCTTGCTCTTACTCTTACGAGAGGAACGTCGCGGCCGCCATGGAGGAGCTGAACGCCGACCGTTGTGTCTGCGCAGCCAAGCGACGCCATAATCATCGGGCGAATCGCCCGGCCGCGAGAGTTCTTGCCCGTCCTTAATAGATATTACAAATTAATGGCAACGCGCTCTCCTTGCGAATGGACCTGCCCACCCGCGAGTTCGTCCTTTTCTTTTCCTTTCGCCGATGGGCTCTCGCATTGGCGCAGGAGGAGGGCAAGCGGGTATAACCGGAAAGAGAGTCTACGTTTTGTTTTTCTCCGGGACTCTTCCTTGAAATTCACTCGGAACGCGTCCATCCGCCTCGCCCTGCCAGATCCCACCTCGAGATTCCGCGTCCCCGTTCGGTTTTCCTGCTCGCGTCCGCGAAAGTTACGATCCCACGCGTCCCGTCGCTCCAGCCCCGTAGAATTAACCTCCAGGAGGACAGAGGACAGCGTAGGAATCGCGTTCCTGGAAGATGGGAGATTACGCGAGCAAGACGCCGCGCAGCATCCCGCTATCGTCTCTTCTTTTCTGCTGACGTCGTTTCGGTAGACGAGGGAGACGCCGTGCTGGGAATCCTAAAGAGAGGACGATAGCGTCGCTCTCGTTTTCTCTTTTCTCGTTTCACGGCGACGCACGCTGGATTCCCCGAGCAGGAAAAAGCCTTAACGATCCTTTGTCCCGACAACGCGTCGCGACGTCGTTCGCCGTATAACAACAAGAACGATTGCGCGCGCGCGCGCGCGGCATGCCTAACCACGTGCGCCCATACGTAGAAGTGTAGAAGTCTCTCCGAGATCCGAAACGATGCCTGTGAAATCGGCCGTTCCGTTTATCTGCGGTTCCGCTGCTCCTGGATCCACAGCTGCTTCGTCTCGTCTGGAAATCACGTCGAACGAATCACGAAGACTCGCAGAGATTTCCCGCGGCCATATGGATGACACTGGGAAGTAGGAAGAAGCATGCGGACCGAAGACAAACAGCCCGTTTTACTTGGGTCTCGCTGGGAAACGTGGATCCTTTCTCCGGCCCCGGGCGACACTCATAACGTCTTTACGAGGTTCGTCTAGAGGGCAGCACAAAGGTCCTGGGATGGGAACAGGCATGCAGGCAGCAGGGAGGAGGACGAGCGAAGAAGGAAGCTAAGGGGAGAGGCCTGTAGACTATAGAGAACGACGTAAACACTGGCTGGCTCGATGCAGCGGCTGAAGCGATGCACGGATGGTCCAGGAGGATGGGTGAGGCTGGAGCGCGGGGGAAGCCCGGGGGGGGCGGGGCGGAGGAACAAACTAATCCAATGTGATCCTTTTCAATTCAACCGCGCTATTCAAGCCGAGGTGTAATCGAGCATCCTGCCGATTAATCGTGTCCAGCAGCTGCCGTTGCAGCAGCGGCATTGACAAAGAGGAACCCGCGGGCCTTCCAACGTGCGGCAGATCGATGGAAGCCGAGCGTCCCGCTAATTCCCGTTTTATCGTAGACAGGGGGGGTGGGGGCGCGACTGAAGGGGGACGAGGAAGGAAAGTTTGACGGCGACGAAAAGTCTGCAGGAGGAGGATTCGTTTATGGGTTATTGTCTAGCCTGGCCACCACGACCCCCCTTGGCCATTACTGGCGATGCCTCAGACTCGGCAGGGGAGCCAGAGGCTGGGCGGAGGGTTCAGGTTTAGAGACCCCTAGCGAAGGGTAGAGACGCCTCCCTGAAACAGCCCCAAGCGTTAACCACTTATTGTTAGTCGATCCCCGTCGTATTTCTTAGCAGCGATTTCATTCCGCGTCGTCATAATTCACCAGTTTTTTTTCCTTTTCCCCGCAGGGTTTCCTGGAAGCGAACTCCAAGTGCTGGTGGAACGCCGCCCTGGTGGACGCGACTCGTCAGCTCAGGTACAAGGGTCACGTGTCTCCAGGAGTTCTGATGGTCGGGGGTCCCCCCTGCGCCCTGGAAGTCCTGAGGGCTGCCTGGGCCCGCAACGTTCTGCGACCTCCAGCTGATCATGCAATCACCTGCCTCGGTGAGTCTTCTTCTTCTTCTTCTTCTTCTTCTTCTTCTCTACTCGAATTCTTCAGTTTCACGTAAGCTGTTGCACAATTGCGCACCGGACAGTCCAGGGTTACTCAAAGTGATAGGACGGCGGAAATGACATGGCAGGTCTCCATGGAGGCTATCCTGAAGTCTTGCTTACTCGCTTATTCACGTGCCGCTGGTTAAAATGCAAACTGCCCGGTTATCGCGCCTTTATCTTTAACGCAGTACAGTTTCCAGTTTATCGCACATGTGGATAAACATCCCCCACATTCCCCCGTTAGCTAAAAGAAACACAAGAGGGACTTGACGCTTGCACCATTTCTCGGAACGTTCTTTCTTATCGGTTAGTACTGCTAGTATCGCCGGTAACTATGGTGCTATTAGTGCTAGTAGCGCTAGTAGTGCTAGTAGCGCTAGTAGCGCTAGTATAGTCCTAGTAGACTCCTAGCAGTATGGACTATCGGAGTCTCGCCTCTATCCACATTCGCACTGGTGCTCCTATATGCAGAACCGTGTCTCGTTTTATGGTATCTCTTACACGGGCACGGAGGCTCCCGCAAGAGCGTGGAATACCGCGCCTATGCTAATACGAGACTCCGCAGCTAAAGCGGGTTTCACGCCGGCCTCTGTAATTGGCCAAGGTCTCGCCTTAAAAATTCCACGACTCCACAGTTCTTCCTGCGATGCTCTCGAATTCTCCATCCAGCATGAAAACACCATAGCTTTCCCATAGAAGATATCGTACAGTAGACACTTTTTCCTTCTCTCTCAGACCTCCTCCTAAGTAGACGACAGCCTTTACGTATTGCCGAACGCATGTCCCTCTTGTACGCACATAGTCAGCGCCATGTGTGGATATCAGCGCGAGATCCTGCTTACACGGCTGCACGCTCTATTCTCAGCGAAGAATAAAATTTGCATTTCTATGGAATACGAAGTATATGGTTTTGCCAGTTGTTGTCGTCGTCTTTCGAGACACAGGCTGCCAATATGCGACTATTCAAAGAAACCTGAAAAACTACATCCGGAGACAAAATCGAACCTAGTCCGGAGACGATCGACGCCTGCCGGCACGGCAGTAGCGGCATTCCTATTGCCGATTGATCAAGTCAGTAGGGCGGTTGACAACGTGCTGCCTGCTTCTATCCTCGAATACCAGCCCAAGTATGCACACTCGGGTAGAGAGACAGCTGCTAGTATCGGATCGGTAAGTATCGCAGTAAGTACCCGGACTGTCCCAGGAGCAGCACCTTTTCTATTGTGGCACACCGATACCAGGGAGTGCTCCATCGGGCACAGCTGGGGCCTTATCGGCCGACAATGAGAACTCGAGTGTGACCAGAAATTTCATGTATCTCGATATTTACGATTCGCTCTACGAGGGCCCCGAGGCTTACATGAAGCAGTATAGTGCCGCAGTGACGTAGCCGTACGGCAGTGCCGTAGCATTCCGTGGGGCCCGATATCGGGCCCTCGTATCGCGCATAATAACCACTCTATGGGACTCGTTCTCAACGATGTAATTGTCGGGCGGTCTTGTGCACCGGGATAGATTCTTATCTATCCCGAGGACTGATAATCGAAAATCGAGGATTCCTCGAAATCAACGAGCAGTCGAGGAAATTCGAGCGAAGATCCTGCACCGAAGGGAGCACAGCATCCCACGGTGTCCTCGATCGTTAAAAACCATATGTAACATGGAGAATTTTTGCAAAAAGGTTAACGAGAGGGAGCTTCCTTGCCTCGGGAGAATTGAGCACCAGAGCCTAGTCCAGAGCCGCGCAATTTCCCTGCGGGACAATGTTAGACGCAGCCATGCAAATTGCCATGGGTAACCATAGCCGTGCTGGCGGGTCTGGATATCCATGGGAGACCCATGGGAGACCCATGGGAGACCCATGGGACAGGCGGCTCGTGTGTGCACTCTCTGCGGATTCTTTCGACTATGCACAGAGTGCAGAGACTCGAAGGGATCCCACGGTCCCCTTCTGCGAATCGCAGATCGACCAGCCACAGGAGGGTTCGCGAGATCGAGTTATGCTTTATGGCTGTCGGGACGTCTCCTTCGGATTCACTTTTAGATTCGTGCACACCGGAGCGCAGTGGAGCCGCCCCGGGCTGCGTCCCGGCGCAGTCGACAATCGACAAACTGCAATCGAGCTGGATGATTGCGTCGCGGCTCGCAATAGTTTAAAGGTTTAGGTCGGGAGGTCAAATTTTATCTGTGAATCTCGAAGAGTGTCGCAACCAGAAGGTACGAGATAATTACGGTTGCAGTTGCGCCGCAGATACGTAAGCTGAATGTCTCTCTCACGGACCCGACGGATAGGACATTAGAAGGGAAAGGTCCTGACTCTCGGTGCATCGTGCAAAGGTGCGTTTATCCCGTGCAGGCGATGCAGTGCGCCCATATAGCCACGAGCATTTACTTTAGAAGGCTGGGACAGTTATCGTTATCTTAACGAGAATCGGTAATATGCACCGCGAGTCTTAAGCAGAGGACGGGAGAAGGATGTAGAGAGAGAGAGAGAGAGAGAGAGAGAGAGAGACGGGGGGGGGTCAGGGTGGAATAAAAGGACGGCGGTGGTCGAAGGTGAAGTAAGGAAGGATAATAAGGAGACACCGTGTGAGAAGATTCAGTCGAACGATTCGGTCTCCATGACTCCTTTGCGCTATATTCGTAATTGCACAAAGTGAAAGTGCACTTTGGAGAATTTCTCAAAAAAGGTAATGATATCCCCATTCGCATGAGCTTCTCCTACCGACGTGGAGTCTCTTCTCTCTTTCTCTGCTCCCATTGGAATTCCCAGCTTGGAGGGAAGGAAACGATCCTGGGAGGAGTTCCTGCCGGTGGTCCAGGTCAGTACCTTCTATCGGAGTTAAGGAGAGGTTATAGCCAGCAGCAACCTTATGAATAACAAATACCCATCGCGCAGGAAAGTCGTGCGGAGCCGTAGATAGGTATACTATATATATATATATATATATATATATATATATATATATATATATATATATATATATATATATATATATATATATATATATATATATATATATATATATATATATATATATATATATATATATATATATATATATATATATATATATATATATATATATATATATATATATATATATATATATATATATATATATATATATATATATATATATATATATAATATATATGTGTACAGTGTACCTTCATGGGAACTAGAATGTTCCAGATAGCGCCTTCTCAGATTCTCAGATTCCTCCAGTTCCTCTTGTTCCTCTCGTTCTTCTCGTTCCTCTCGTTCCTCGACTTGCCTCGTTGGCTGCTTGACTGGGTCCCTCGGCTTCATGGAGGATCGCGATGAGATTCTAAGAGCGACTCGTACGGAACGATGAATCGTCCCGTGTGAATGCAGCCTTAGGTCCCTTGGATCGTTGGATCCTCGGAGGATACTTGTCTACTGTCGGTCCTGGAGCTACCAGTGGGTGCCTCTACGTGCATAAGCTGCCTCGCTACGTAATGCCGTTTCTTTGTCATTCCATCCTCGATGCCCATAGATCACTGGGAATCTTCTTCGTGCATCTGCCGGGATGCATAATCTTCGCCTCCGTGTAGATTACATTATCTCCTGGACCCGCTGGCTCGTTTCTTCTTCGCGCACGCTTTCCTCCACATATACCTCCGAGCGTATTAAGTACCCGCGAACGGATAAGACGGAGATGAGAGAATAGGGGGAGCGAGAGAGGATTCAGCGGGGACGAAGAGCCAAGAGTAAAAGACGAAGGAAAACCAAAGAGCCAATTCGACGCTCCGCACGTCTGCAGCCCTCTGGCCAGATTCTCCTGTTCGATCTTACATGCGTCCATGTGTCTTTAACCTGGCCCGTGGAGTAGTTGGATATTATATGGCTCACTGGCTAACTGGCTAACTGGCGACGCACACGCGTGTACGTAGGTGCTGATAGAGACAGAGAAATCTGCCACAGCGACACGTGGGACAAGGCATCAGGACCCACCGGGAGACGCCCGAGTGGATTTCGATGTCGTATCACTCGGTTCAAGATAGGTCTGTCTACCTGCTCTGCCGGACGTGTACGTACAGGGTGTTTCTCTCTCTCTCTCTCTCGCTCTCTCTCACACGCGTCCCCCCTTAAAAGTTTCTCGCGCATTTCCAGACTTTGTCTTCCGAATCTTTCACCGTTCTCTGTAAACCCGATTGAAGTGGAATAACGAAGTGGATGACTGAACTGGACGGCTACGAAAGTCAAAGTTATGCGAGATGTGACAGTCGATCGAACGGGAATTGGGAGGGAGACACCTCTTAGCCCTGTGGTGCAGCACGCTTAGGCCTGATCCCCATATCGTTATGGTTATCGACGATAGCGGCCAGGTCATCCGGGTCACTGGATCGTTACCGCTCGAGATTTATGAACTGGGTCCTGGGTTCCCCATCACTGTAACTCTGGTGAGATACAAGAGATCCCCGTGACACTCCTGAACCACGAAGAAACTTCAGTAAATCTTGAGTCAGTAATATACTCTTACCTCCCACGAAGCGGAACCCTCCTCCCCATCCTCCTGGTGATCCTTTATGCGCATCCAAGGACATTCCAGGAGCCAGGATGGGCGGTGTAATTTGGCCGGGAGAGCAAGCTCGTAAAGAAGATCCCCCCGATAAAGAAGTCCACTTTTACGTTTGTCCTCGCACATTATCGCTGCGAGCATTAGCATAAGCTTCGGTCGTATCTCAGAATCAGAATCAGCAATAGGATTTCCAGAGGTTCCTATCCGGAGGAGGGAATTCCGAGAGCCTCGCCGATTAATGCCAGAGACCTCCCTGATGTCGCTCAACCAGGCCGAAACGAAGTCGTAGAGAAATGTCTGTGGGCGCCACTCCTTGTTTCTCCGGTCGCCTCATTCCATTCGCCTTTGCCAATTCATCAGCTGGGAACTGATCTCACTGTTCGTTCTCGACGCTTTGACGAG